TTTCTCTTTCTCACCTCCTTTCTCACCCCCCCTTTCTCCTCTTTCTCACCCTCCCTCCTTTCTCACCCCCCTCTCCTTTCTCACCCCCCTCCTTTCTCACCCCCCCTTTCTCTTTTTCACCCCTCTCTCCTGCTTGCCCCCTCCTTTTTTTCACCCCTCTCCTCTTTCACCCCCATCTCCTCTTTCACCCCCTTTCTCCTCTTTCACTTACCTTTTTTTCCTTTTTCACCCCCTCTCTCCTCTTTTCACCTCCCTCCTCTTTAACCCCCCCCTCCTTTTCTCACCCCCTCCTTTCTCACCCCTCTCCTTCTCCAGCCCCCTCCCCACTACCTTTTCTGTAGCGTGGCCGAGCCCTGTATAGTCCGCGGGTACAGGGAGCATCTGTCTCCTGTACCCGGCCGGACTAACAGGAAGTGCACACGGGCTGCGCCCGGGCGGTGCGGTCCGCCCTCATGGACGCACCGCCCGGGCAATGCTGCAGCCGCCCGAGGCTCCCTACAGAGCGCTCGGGCGGTTGCAGCATGGGGGGGGCCGGCGGGGCTGGTCATGGCACCCCCCACCCTGGTGGCACCCGGGGCGGACCGCCCCCCCCCTTAGTACGCCACTGTCTCCTACCATTGTCCACTTACCACAGATTTATTGCTCTTCTGTTATCACCTACATATTGTGCTAGCCAAATATCTAACAAATGTATAGATTTCTGCTTAATTCACACTTCCCCTCCCTTAAGGCAGACAGTCTATCTGAGTATACACCTACAACTTTGTGTTGCTTTAACGTGCATTGATTCCACATGCGTCATTGGTCTAGGAGCCATATTTTAGGAAGAACCAGGGCCGTCTTTAACGCGGGGCAAACGGGGCAGCTGCCCCGGGCCCAGTTTCTCTTGGGGGGCCCGAGGCACCTGCCCCGTGGGCCCCGCTGACCCCGGCGGTCGGGCAGGAAGGCGGGCGCGCGAGGGAGCACTCACTGCTTCCTCTTCAGCTCCCTGTACCGCGCACGATGCGGGGCGGAAGATAGCGTCATCTTTAGGCGGCACTCAGCGGCGGCAGCGAGAGCTGAAAAGGCTGCCTAATCTTTCCCACCATGCTCCGCCTACCGACAACTCCCTACGCCAAGGCCCAGCAGCACCACTGGACCCCAGGGAATCCCCCCAGCACTCCAAAAGGTAAGGAGGCTGGGGGGATTACATTTAAAAAAAAAAAATGTGTGTGTTTGTGTGTTAGTGTATGTGTGTGTTAGTGTTTGTGTGTTAGTGTTTGTGTGTTAGTGTATGTGTGTGTTAGTGTGTGTTAGTCTATGTGTGTTAGTGTGTGTGTGCGTTAGTCTGTGTTAGTGTATGTGTGTGTTTATGTGTGTTAGTGTGTGTGTTTGTGTGTTAGTGTATGTGTGTTAGTGTGTGTGTTTGTGTATGTTAGTGTGTATGTGTGTTAGTGTATGTGTGTGTGTGTCAGCATGTCTGTGTGTGTGTCAGTATGTCTGTCTGTCTGTGTGTCAGTATATATGTGTGTGTGTCAGTATGTGTATGTGTCAGTATGTCTGTCAGTGCGTCAGTATGTCTGTTAGTGCATGTGTATGCATGTGTCAGCATATCTGTCTGTGTGTCAGTAT